GCAGGTGCCCGCCTTCTTCGCCCCCCTGGACTCTGAACCTGTGCGGGCAGCTGCAGGCCGCACCCTCTGGCTGCCTGAGAGAAGACCAAGGCCAGGATAGAGCGTCGGCTCCTAGGCTGAAGTGTCCCGGGTTCAATTCCGGTCACGGGTATGTCCCTCGGTTGCAGGCTTGGTCCCCCGCCCCACGTCACCCCAGCCCCTGTCCGAGTGCCTGCAGAAGGCAAGCAATCAATGTGTCTCTCTCACTTCGATGTTTCTCTCTCTCGCTCTCTCTCTCTCTCTCTCTCTCTCTCTGTCTCCCCCTCTCCCTTCCACTCTCTCTAAAAATCAATGGAAAATATCCTCGGGTGAGCCTGCGCAATACACACATGCGTGTGCGCGCACACACACACACACAATAAGTAAATAAATAAAAATTCCTTGTTAAAAAAAAGAGATGACGGCCAGAAGTGGGCCCTCCAGGCCCTGAGAGCCGTGTGGCCCGTGGGGTGGAGGAAAGAGCTAGGACTTCAACTCAGGTTCTTCGTGGCCTGGCTGTTTCCCTCTGCTCCTCTGAGACTCAGTCCCCATCGGTAACATGGGGACAAGGCAGCAGAATCCATCACTGACCGCCCTTGACCTGCCAGCTGAGCGGCCGCTCTCTCCACCCGCCCAGCACCGAGGCTCCAGGGCAGCCAGCCCCCGCTGCCGGCCCCCAGCCCTATGAATGCTGTGTCCTCATTGTTATAATTCTATAAGTTAAGTAAATACTAGGTGAGCCAGTTAGATGAGAGGAGAGGGTTGTTTCTAATTTCCTTATAAAAACCAGGTGGAAGGCTTTGAGGAGACTCCAAAGTGAGTCTGTCAGACAAGTGAGATGATGGTAGAAAGGCCCTAGAAGGTTTTGCATACAGATTACTTCATTAATGTCTGACTTCTTGCTCTTCTCGAAAGAAACCACGGCTGCACATTGGACGACCTTGCAGGGGTGGTTTAAGCCCCAAAGAGGAGGGGAACCTCAATCCCAGGCCCACATCCCAGGGAGGCCTGGTGGCACTGGGGGTGGACGCATGCCTAGCCCTTTGTGTTTGGGGTTAAGATGCACTGTTCAAAGGGAATGTACAAATCTCTGATTCCTGGCTTTTTGTTTTTCCATTGAAAAAAAAAAAAGCCTGCCCTGGGTTTCCGTACACAGTGGCCCACCTGCCCACGGTGTGGGTCGCCATGATGGACAGCACCTCGGTGGTCTTGATGCGTACCATGTGGTTGGTGTCCCTCAGCAAAGCCCGCAGGCTCTCCAGGCAGCCTGTGGGGCAGAAAGACCTTTGGACGGTTATCAGTCTCCAGGTTCAACCAACCCAGAAGCCAACAGGTGAGCCCGCATCGGCAACAGGATCAGCAGAGGCATCATGGCCCTTAGGAAGGGTTCCAGAGTCACTGCTGGGGGCTCTGTGTGCTCCCACCCAGAGACCATTCAGAAAATGCATTTGGAGCCTGGATGGCATGGCTCAGTGGTTGAGCATCGACCCAGCAACCAGGAGGTCACTGGTTCGATTCCCAGTCAAGGCACGTGCCTGGGTTGCAGGCTCAATCCCTTATCATTGATGTTTCTACTCACCCTTCCTCTGTGAAATCAATATATATATATATATATAATCAGCCCTTCAACTAAGGCTGGGGGGGAAGTGGCAGTTCACTCATCATGTGCTTGACCAGGGAAAGGTGTGGCCGGGCCACTAAGGTCACCTCAGCGTTCATTTTGGTCGTTAGGAGAGTGGGAAACAAGAGGTCCCAGGTATCATGTGGCTCCAATAGGATGTTGCCTGTCTTTCTCAGCTAAGACAGATCACAGGGCTGTTTGGTGGATTTATGGCCACCTGGTCGGTCCAGCCGTAGCAGAGAGGGCTGCTTTGTGGCTGGGTCGGCTGCTGGAGGTGTCCTCCAAGGACGGGCTGACCAGCTGGGAGGGTCACCTCAACTCCTCCCACCTCCAGCTACTCTGTGTCTGTCCATCCAGACCCGAGTCACGGGCGCCTGGGCCCCGTGACACTCTCACCTATGTCGATGGCCACATAGACGTGCTCGGGGTCATGCATGAGGTCGCACAGAGCCATGAGGGCTTTCTGCCTGGTCTGCAGGTCCTCGGACTGCAGTTCCTCGTTCAGTTTGGGCAGGGCCCGGCAGCCGTACGCGATGGAAGCCTGGGCGGGGTTGATGTCGGGGGGCAGGTACATAGAGATCCAGGTATGGGCCATCTTTCCGCACCTGCAGGAGGTGACGCTCTCACTTTCAAAACGGAGCTCCGCAGAGACCACTGGTGAAAAGAACCCCAAGCGTTGTCATGAGTCCGACTGTGATTTAGAAGCTACTTCTCATTCGATCCTCAAAACGGTAAGCACAGCTGAGTGGATATTTTTAATGTTTTTATTGATTTTTAGAGAGAGAGGAAGGGAGAGGGAAAGACAGAGAGAAGCATCAATGTGAGAGAAACACATCGATTGGCTGCCTCCTGCACATGCCCGACCAGGGCCCCCCGCCAGCGAGGAGCCTGCAACCAAGGTACGTGCCCTTGAAGGGAATCGAACCCGGGATTCTTCGCTCTGCAGGCCAACGTTCTATCCACTGAGCCAAACCAGCTAGGGCATGAATTATTTTTATTGCACACACACACACACACACACACACACACACTTGGAGCATCTATAGGTAATGTGGCTTAGTACAAAGAACCGGCTCCAGACCCAGGCCACGGGCGGCCCTTGACAATCTCTTCCTCTCTGTGAGCCTTTGCAGAAAGGATTTGATGATAGCACCTCCTTCCCTTGCTCCCGTGTGAACAACCCTCCTGAGCCTGGCACGCCAGGGCTCCCGGTGCGTTGGCTGTGGTCCTTACTGTGGGAGTGATTGCTGCTGCCGGTGTTGAGTGGCCCTGACAGGCCCCCGCCCTGAGGGATTCTACCCCAGTTAAAGAACTAAGGCCAACTCTGATCTTAGGCACCAAGTGACAAGGAGAGACAGACGGGATGAGCTGGGCGGGGAAGGGGAGGGGCGGCCATTTCCGATGGGGGCTCCCCCCGCAGGGAATGCTGGGCTCTGGGGATCAGGGACAAGGGGGCCTGGCCTTCTGTATGTGGCTTGGGCTGCGGGAGTCCCGCCGCGGATGAGAGCGGACGCGGGACCCGTGTGAGCCAGACTGGATGGTTCTGAGGGTCCCCTGTCCCTCCTGTCTTGGGTCCCTGTCTGGTGCCGCAGGCTCACCTGCTTCAGCGTGCGCGGTCGCCCGTTGCTAGGCGACCCGGTTGCCAGGCGACCCCAGCGGCGTCCTCAGCGCTGCGCTCGCACACTAGGCGCCCACCGCGCAGGCGCAGGCGGCGCGAGCAGCCACGGTCTGGGGCCGGCTGTAGGGAGGGGACAATGATACTTTACGGGGTTCCCGCGGGGAACCAAGACGGCTCTGCTTTGTTCATAGCACCGAGGGGAAGGGAAGTGAGTGTGAACGCCTTTCTCTGTGCGGGACACTTCGCATGCCTTTAGTCCTCAAAGTAACCCCGTGAGCTGCTAACATGATCCGGGTTATAGGCAGGCCCCTCAGAGGTCTTCTTAGTAGCTTGCCAAAACCACGCAGGCCAGAGCCCAGGACTGCCGAGCCCTGGTCCATGCTCCTTGCTCTGCAGGCTGATGGCCCGGGAATGACACAGATTGGCCCTCGCGGTGGACCCAATGCCCTGCTGACTGGAGCAATTGTGCTTGAAAGCAAGCCAGACCCAGCCGTCACCTGCATATAACCCTCCATGGCTCCCCAGTAGTCTCAGGACAGAGTCCAAACATCCAGCCTGCCGCTCAAGACCCTGGGTGCCAAATGGCCACCTCCTCCATGCAGCCTGGGCTGCCAGGAACAGAAACCACCTCTGTGTCCTTCGGGGCACAGCTCGGTGGACAGACACCACCTCCATGAAGCCTGTTGTCTCCCCGACTCCATGTTAGTACCAGTAAATGATCCCGTAGCTTAATTAATTACCAGGAGGCTTTCAGTACGTGTAGAATGAATAACTGGGTCATGGACTTGGGTCCAGCTTTATACTAATCTACAGAGCACTTTCATAGATAGTCGAGTCCATTTGATAGCTGAGTAAACTTGAACACAGGAGAGGGTAGACCAACTCACAGGAGTTCACCCTTAGGCCTGGGCCTGTCGCCGTGAAACTCACTAACAAAGGCACCAAGTATGAGCCTCCAACACACTTAGCTTTGAAATGCAGGTAATTGACTTAGATTTGCGGGCCAAGGATACCATATTGTGATGTGGAAATCTGCCCCCTACTGCTGCTATTCTTCAAAGGACAAAGTCCGGGAGGGTCTCTCTGACCCTGAGCTTTTGAGGAGTGTGGGGCAGACAGCAGAAGGCTGGGAGTCAGGAAACCTGGGTTCTGATTCTAGTTCTAACTCACGTGGCAAAACTTTTAACTTGTGTGAGCCTTAGTTTCCTGGTCTGTGAAATGGGAAGCTGGATAAAATAGTTTCTCAAAGCTGGGAACCCTGGGCCTCTCAGAATCTGGGTATACAGTCTTTTTTTTTTTAAGTACCCTTCAGCTCGGCTGGCGTGGCTCAGTGGTTGAGCATCGACCTATGAAAAATCGTATTCAATATATTACAAAAATAAACACTTACACACGTCACATCATAACCCCTACCAGTTTGAGCTCCCACCCCTCCCGGCTACAGTGATTGTCCGAGAGGTCTCTCCACCATCAGGCCCGCCCAGACTCCCATCTTTGGATCCAGGCTCCACCCAGACCGCGATGACCCCGCCCACAGCCCATATCCAACCCCGCCCTCGTTTCCATGGTGATCGCAAGCGCTCCCTGGAGGGGAGAGGGGGGCAGGCAGCAGCTAGTCAAGTGCCCACAACTCCCTCCAGGCTCTGGTTGCTATGGTGACGGCTCGGGCACGCCGCAGTGGGATTGCTTCCGCTCCGAGCCCCGCCCAGACCCAGCCCCCGACGTCCAGGATTGGTCAGATGCTCTCCGGTCGCGCGTGGTCATCGTTGCCATGGTGATTGCCGCAGCGAACCGAGCCGGACCAGGCTGCGCTGAACCCGAGTCCTCCGCTGCTGTTGCCAGTGAGTCCGCCGCGCCTCTGTCCTCCCCTTGGCCGCCTCCCGCCTCCCGCCTCCAACCTCCGGGAGGGCGCGTCGCGGAGGCCCCGGTCGGAAGGACGCCGCGTCCCCCGCCCACCTCCCACCCCCAGAATCTGAACGCGGCCTGAGGGCCTGAGGCCTCAGCATTTCCTGAACCCCCGACCCTGAACGCCCCGTGCTGGGCCTGGAGGGGAGCTGGGTCAGAGCGAGAACAACAGGCCTGGGTCAAGGCCACCCTAGCGGGGAAGCGGGCAGAGGAAGGCGCGGTCGGGCTGACTAGGCGCCGGGGGGCGCGGTCCCGGGTGGGGTGACAGGCCTGTGGGCTGAAACCCAAGGGCCTGCCTGCGAGGCCTGCGATGTGTGTGCCCCACTCACAACCAGTCACACGCTCGGAGAGGGGCCACTCCGGGTTGGACACCACATCCCGCAGCAGGAGGGAGGCCCAGGTCTTCGGGACTCCCCACCCCCCTCCTGCCTGCAGACTGAAAGAGGTGACATGGCCAGACGCCTGGCAAGGGGGAGGAGGAGGCTTGGACCTGCTTTTAAAGCCCCTAGAAAGTTAGGCGTGAACTTGCGGGTGAGTCCCCAGGCGTCGTCGGCACAGCTCCCTAACCCTTTCCCCCGCTTGGGTCTCCAGAACTCTCCGGAAGGATGAGGGCCTCCCTGCCGCCTCTGGGCCCCCCTGTGAGCCGGGACCGCATCATCTCCAGCTTCCCTAAGGTAGGGAGTCCTGCGGCCAGACCTTGACGTGAGCAGTGAGCACTGCGCTTCCCAGACCGTGTCCACAAATATCACTTTTAACCAGTCAATAACTCACCTGCGCTTTTAACCGGTACCCGCACTTTTAACCGGTATCCGCACTTTTAACCGGTACCCGCACTTTTAACCGGTACCCGCACTTTTAACCGGTACCCGCACTTTTAACCGGTTAAGAGCTCATTGAATACCGGTTAAAAGTGCGGATACCGATTTAAAATGGTCGCTTTCCCCACCTGCACTCACCACCAAAAACAAGGCAGGTGAACCCAGGAGGTCAGGTCTTGCTGACAGACTTCATGAGATGCTGGGAGACACGGCGCTGGCTTGGCCAGGGTGGGCCAGGAGCCAGTGTGGCCTGGAAGTTAAGGGCGCGGACTTTGCAATCAGACAGTCTTGGGTGTGAATCCTAAGTCTGTCAATCCTAAATCTATTCTAAATCCTAAAGCTGTGTGACTGCGGGCAAGTTACTCAACCGCTCGGAGCCACTGTCCCACAGGGTCAGTCCTCCCGTGTCGGGTGCCTGGCTCATAGCCAACGGGAGCTCCCCGCCTGAGTGGTGGTCATTGTTCTCATAATTATTATGACAATTATCTTTTTTTTTTTTTTTTTTGCTAATCCTCACCCAAGGGTATTTTTCATTGATTCTTTTAGGGAGAGTGGAGGAGAGAAAGACAGAGAGAAACTTCAGTGTGAGAGAAAACCATCGATTGGTTGCCTCCTGAACGTGCCCCGACCGGAGCCTGGGCCGGGGAGGAGCCTGCAACCAAGGTACATGCCCTTGACCGGAATCGAACCCGGGACCCTTTGGTCCGCAGGCCAATGCTCTATCTACTAGGCATCATTATGATAATCAAAACAGCACTCCAGTTTCCTGATACCAAATCCAGGGTTCTCCCCTCTTACCATTCTTCCTTCAGTTGCTAAGCTCTCTTCCATCTACATTAAGATCTAACGTGTTTTCAGAACTGCGCGTTCATGCCCGTGTGGCTGACTGCAGAGCTCCAACTTCCCCCTAACCTGGGGGGCACCTGCCCTGTTTCCACAGGTCGGATTCTCCCCCGCGGTCGGTGGCCGCCAGGGGTCACAGGCCACAGCGGGCCAAGTTCGCCCTGCACCCCGCAGCACGCCATGTCAGACCGGACCACTTGGTGGTCAGGTGGGGCAAGCCCTTCCCTTTGCTCTCGGGGCCTCGGTTTTCCTGTCTCTAAAATTGGCCCGCACCTCCTGTCCAGCCTTCCTTATTAAACGCTGCTCCAGTCCATCCAAGTCACGGGATTCCTCTCGTGACCACCGTGCCCAGGCCGGGGCCCCACTTTGAGGCTGGCATGCAAGTCGGCGGGAAAAGCAGCCAGCTTCCTCTCGAGGCGGCTGCCGCCCTCCTGCCTGAATGTGGGCTGCGGGCTGCGCTGCGCCCCTGCGTCACCCAGCTAATCCTCCGGCCACCAGATGAGGAGGTGCTGTTGGGCGTGTCCCCCTTTACGGAGGAGGAAACGGGCTCAGTAAGGTTTTGTAACTCGCCTTTTTGCAAAGTTCCTTCCACCTTCACGCCTGGAGCAGCGAGGGCACCTGGGCCAGAGCAGAGCCCATTCCAGTGCCTGGGAGCTCAGAAGAGACACTTGGGGAGGGCATGTGGCCACGCCCCTGCCACAGGGACAGAGCCCGTGGCCCAGGCCACCACGGCCGCGTCATGGCAGAGCACAGCGGCCGCCTCCCACGATGCCGTTCCCTCCGTGTCCTCGCCACACTCTCTGCGTAGCCGCGGCCCATTAGAGAAGAAAACATGATGATCATCAAAGTGTTTTTTCTAATTTTAAAACAAATGCACACTCAGCACGAGTCATGGCATCGTAACAGCCACAAACACTTAAGCGCTCAGTGTGTGCCAGGCTGGCTCTGGGCCTTCAGACATTATCTATCTCCTTCTCTGCCCCCAGGCCTCTGAGGTTCGCAGATGGGGAAACTAAAGTTCAGGAGTTGAGCGTCGACCTGTGAACCAGGAGGTCACAGTTGGATTCCCGGTCAGGGCACAGGCCCGGGGTTGCGGGCTCGATCCCCACTGGGGGGCGTGCAGGAGGCAGCGGATCAGTGATTCTCTCTCATCATTGATGCTTCTCTCTCTCTCCCTCTCCCTTCCTCTCTGAAATCAATTAAAAACTTTTTTTTTTAATTCAGAGGCGTTAGGTAACCGCCCAGGGTCACACAGCAGCTAAGCATGGATTCAGGTCTTGACCCTGAGGCCGTACTCTTAAACCACCCCCGGTTCTGCCTTCCCGATACTGTGGGAGGCCTGAAGTGCCTTCCAGCGCATGTCCATGCACACACGTGCAAACGTTAGAAGCAAAAATGGCCTGGAGTTCCGTAGGAGCTGTGGGAGGACCTTGGAGCTAAGGTCCCCTGCATCTCCCCCCAAGAGGACAGAGGGGATGGAGGCCTGACACGTGCCCACAGTAAGGGCACAGCCACCCCGGGTGGGACCCAGCTCTCCATTCCCCCCCTGAGCTCTCTGGTCTGGCTCCGCCCCTGCTACTGCTTCTCAGGACTCCTAACACCTGAGCCTTCAGGCTGCTGACAGGAGAGGAGACGGGCCTGACCGTGGGAACGGGGAGAGCTAGGGGCTGCCAGCCGCTGGCAGGTCACCACCTCGCTGCCCTGCTGGGTGATGGAGCCGCAGCTCATTTGTCTATCTGTCTGTCTGACTCCTTGCAGTGGTACACGCCTGCCGCCTGCCTGCAGCTCAAGGAGCACTTCCACGGGCAGGTCAACGCCGCCTGCCAGCGCAGGAACACGGGGACCGTCGGGTGAGCACCCCTCAGCGCCCAGGGCGTGGGGTGTGGGGGGCTGGCAGGGAGGAATGAGAGCATGCGTAGACATGCGAATGCATACGTGACACACCCACACTGCCCCGGGCAGCCCAGGATGGGCCTGAACCTGATGGGAGTTTTCGCCGCTTCATTGGGCACACGGCTGCCACGTGACCATTTCCCAACAAGTCACGCATGTGATTCCTCAGCCTGAGGTCTTGGCATCTGTCTTCCGTTTGTATTGGTTTTCCTCCTCTTTTTATTTTTTTAAGTATGTTTTTATTGATTTCAGCGAGGAAGGGAGAGGTAGAGGGAGAAACTTCAGTGCTGAGACACACCTGGTTCCCCTTCAGCTGGGGTCAGGCAGGGGTGGGCAAACTTTTTGACTCGAGGGCCATAATGGGTTCTTAAACTGGACCGGAGGCCAGAACAAAAGCATGGATGGAGTGTTTGTGTGAACTAATATAAATTCAAAGTAAACATCATTACATAAAAGGGTACAGTCTTTTTTTTTTTTTTTTAGTTTTATTCATTTCAATTGGGCCGGATCTGGCCCGCGGGCCGTAGTTTGCCCACAGCTGGTCTAGGACCTGCCCCTGTCCCCTTGGCTGGCCCTAGCAGACACCCCCAAAGGAGCAGGTGTGACCGCTCAGGGAGTGACTGCTTGCCAGGGGCAGGAGGGAGCCCCTCGGGCATGTAGCCCCAGGGGTGGGTGGGTAGGAAGTGCTGGGGTTCCGTCCCCCGCCCCCGTGCTGTGTGTGTGCCCCAGGTTCCCAGCTGAGCTCCCGGCTTGCACGTAGCCCCACCCACCCGTTCTCCGCAGGCTCAGCCTCTCCAAGGCCGTTGTCGTCGGCGACCTCCACGTGGGCAAGACCAGCCTCATCCACAGGTAGGCGCGTCGCCACGCCCCAGCGCCAGGCTGCCGGGTTTTACCGGGGAGCCCAGAGGGCACCGTCACAGTCCAGGCATGTGACTGCCCAGAAGCACACCCGGGGAGGTGGAAACGGGGGGGGGGGGGGC